GAGCATGTTTGGTGTGACGGGGGATTCGACCCTCAGATCGCGAGTCGAGCGCCCTATCACCTGGCCATGCCGGGCCTCAGATCGGAGGTATTTAACTTACGATAAAACTTAGTTGGGACTGTATTACTTCACTAGTTAGCTTGAGGGGTTAATTCAGTTGTCCAGTAATTGCCCGGTTATGAAGACGCCAGAAAATAGCTGTTTTTCCTTTCAGCCGTGGAGGCGCTATAATGTGACGGTCAATCCCACTATTCGTTGGTAAAAGATTAACCCACCAATTGGCAGCGGGTAATGTTGACTAGCTGCCTTCCCTCTAGTCTCCCCCCCCCCAGTGGCACAGCGGCAGGTCTATGGACTTACAACGCTAGAAACCGGGTTTCGATACCCGTGGTGGGCAGAGCACAGATAGCCTCGTATAGCTTTGCGTAAAATTCAGAACAAACCGAACTTTACAAAATTCCGTAAGTAAAAAATGGGGAATAACAATCAGTATAATTTTTACTTTAAAAAAATACGTTTCGGTTAATTGTCCGACATTTTTGTTTTCTGATATTCTTGAAAATTTTCTATTGATCCTTGAAACTTGATATAGTATTTTTAAAACAAAAAACTGTATAGACTCAAACTAGCTTGCGCATACGCATATTTAGTTATCTTTGTAAAACAGGGAACACACCTGTATTAGGCCAATATTTTATGCAAAAACATACAGAAGAATATTATTCTCTGTCCGCTTGCTTTTGTGTTAATATGAGTTTCATTTATATCATAAGTTTAAGTTTGTATACGCATATTTTCTGATACTAACCTTATACACACACACTGTCAGATTATGACGTCCATGATGGAGCATTTACGTGACTTTACAATGACCGTGCCATATTCTTCTACATCATTATTTCCTGCCGTATTATCATGGTGAATATAAATAAGGGTTTACTGTTTACAACGTAACTATTTATTTAGGAAGCGATTGTCCATATTATAACCATTTTGAATGTTTTCTAGAGTTTTTCTTTCAAAGCCTATGCCTTGCGTGGATTTGTGTAAGCTAGTTTATTATTATGTTTCAAACTTGAATATTTGTGTGTATTTGTTTTATTACCTTGAGTATATTTTTTAAGGTGGTCCAATAGTCTCATGGATCCATTTTGTTGTTTAATTGTGCAAAAAAAAAATATTCAAATTTTCAGATTTTGGTTGTTTTGTAATCCGACCTTCACTGTGCTTCAAACGTACTCAATATATTTCATAAACATTGCACTGTTAACATGCGTATGCTTATCGTTTGCAAGTGAAGGTGACAGAGGACAATCCTTTGCCTCATGAAACACTTTCAAATTCTTACAAATAATGTCCGTATAAAATTTAATCTAAAAACACCATCCTCTCTGTTTGAAAGCTATGGCCAAGTGAGTTCCAAGAATCTAAAAAATTCATCCTCTCTGTTTGAAAGCTAGGACCAAGTGAGTTCCAAGAATCTAAAAACACCA